CTCCATGGGGTGGGGGGGGGGCACCGCACCCCGACAAACAGCCCCACTTCATGAGTCCCCATTTGCCACCCCACTTCCACAGCCATCCAACTGAACTTTCCCGCTGTTCCCAGACAACCTGTGGAACTCCTTGCCAGGGGATGTTGTGAAGTCCCAGACAATAACAGGGTTCAAAAAAGAGCTAGATGAATTCATCAATGGCTGTTAGCCAGAATGGGCAGGAATGATGTCCCTAGCTTTTGTTTGCTAGAAGCTGGGAATGGAGGCCATAGGATGAATCGGATGATTACCTGCTCTGTTTTTCCCTTGGGAGCACCTGGCATTAGTACAGGCAGTCCCCGGGTTACATGGATCCGACTTACATCGGATCCCTACTTACAAACGGGGTGAGGCAACCCCGCACTAGCTGCTTCCCCCCAGCAGACCAGGGAGACGCGAAGCTAGTGCCCCCCTTCAGCAGACCAGGGAGACGCGGAGCAGCTTTTCTCAGCAGACACCTCAGCTTGAGAATAAAGGACTGAGGGAAGTAAGGTGTGGGAGAATAAAACTGAGCTCTGGAGCAATGTTTGCCTAGAGTTTCCCCAACAATATGTACCAGTTCCGACTTACATACAAATTCAACTTAAGAACAAACCTACAGTCCCTATCTTGTACGTAACCTGGGGACTGCCTGTATTGCCAGAAGTCAGGATACTGGGCTAGATGGACCTTTGGTTCTTATGTTCTAAGACGCACTGAAAATCAACATTAATGGTCCAATGAGCTCAGTAGCCAGCTCTTTCAAAATTCTTGGATATAAGAATTCACACCTGCAGATTTAAAAATGTCTAATTTTAACAGATTCTGTTTTATCTTCCTTTCTGTTTAACGTCGTTTTATTGGCTATTGCAATGAAGTTTCATTATCACTTTATAGGCATACATAATCTGGTTTTCCCTAAATATAAAACCAATATTTAACTCTTCTGCTTTTGTTCTGTGTTATTATTGACATTTCTATTTAGTAATGGACCAAGAGTATTATTTGATTCTTTTTGTTCCTAATATACTTTAAAAATGCCTTCTTGTTGCCTTTAACTCTGCTGGCCATGTTTCTTCTGTGTGTGTCTTTTTGTGTCCCCTATCGGTTTTCTACATTCCTATCTTCTGATTTTTATTTACTACTATCAATTTCCCCTTTCTTCCATTGCATCAGTGTGTCTTTGTTCACTCTTTACATAGATTACATAAGGGTATAATTAATCTTCCCTTTTCATTGAAGGCTTTCACTTACTTAGTCCTTCAGTGTTCAGTCTTAATGTGCTAGGAGAAGATTAAGAGACTCTATACAGCTACAGTGCCCTCATGTTTTCCTTTGCAACTTTGACCCTGTTGGGACTAACTCACTCAAACTGCTGCACCAATTAGAAGTGCTTTTTCCCACCTTTTGACTTTGCCCTTTCTTCTCAGGTGCAGACTTGAGCACAGGGATCAAACCGAAGACATTCAGCATTAGAAAGGGGTAGGGATGTAAAATCTCATTAAAAATGTTAACCAATTAAACTATAGGTTTAACTGGTTCACCAGCCTGCCGTGTCACTGTGGGCAGGAGGGGCCACTGGAGCAGTGGGGAACACATGGGCTGCGTCTAGATTGGCATGATTTTCCGGAAATGCTTTTAACGGAAAAGTTTTCCATTAAAAGCATTTTCGGAACAGAGCGTCTAGATTGGCACGGATGCTTTCCCGCAAAAGCACTTTTGGCGGAAAAGCGTCCTTGCCAATCTAGACGCGTTTTTCCACAAAAAAGCCCCGATCGCCATTTTCGCAATTGGGGCTTTTTTGCGGAAAACAAATCTGAGCTGTCTACACTGGCCCTTTTGCGCAAAAGAGACTTTTGCCTGAACTGGAGCAGAATAGTATTTCCGCAAGAAGCACTGATTTCAGACAGTAGGAAGTCAGTGCTTTTGCGGAAATTCAAGCAGCCAGTGTAGACAGCTGGCAAGTTTTTCCGGAAAAGCGGCTGATTTTCTGGAAAAACTGGCATGTCTAGACACAGCCATGGTGTGGTGGACATGGCTGCTCCGGCTCAAAGATGGTTAACCGATTACCAGCAAGCATCTCTAGAAAGGAGTGCTTACCACTTGAATTAGAGGGCTGTTACCTGTCAGTAAGTGGCAGGGTCTTAGTTTTGGTAGGGTCAGCTGCTAAAGTGAGACAAAAATCACACACACTAGCTCAGGGAATCACACTATCACTCCTAAACTGAATTATTGAAATCACTTTGGACAAATTTGGAAGGTAATTCTGAAACAATAAGCTGCTACTTTCCAGCTAGGTAGGACAAAATAACATGAGCACATCACACCCATCTGCTACACTCTATGGCTAGGTCTACAGTGTAGGCTTCTTGTGCAAGAACTGTTTTGCACAGGAGTTCTTGCACAAAAATTCTTGCACAAGAAGCCTGCAGTGTAGATGAGTTCAATATGACTTGGTTGCTTCCCTGGGATGAGAGGCTAGGCGGGCATAGGCAGGCTGGGGAGTGACTAACAGCTCTGTCAGAGACTTCTGGATTAGAGACCAATAGTCTCTGAAGAATTTCACATTTTCAACGTGGCCTTGACTGAACTAAAATTACTACAATAGAATCACAAAGATATGAACATCAGAGTCATGGACTGACCAGTCTGCCAAACAGCATGTGAAACCTGACAATCAATTAGGCAGCAATGGAAACAAACATCCCCAAACAAATAGGCTATGGCTACACTCCCAGCTTCTTGCGCAAGTATGGCTGTTCTTGCGCAAGAATCTGCAGAGAATCCACATGCCCGCTGCTCTTGCGCAAGGAAATTGACAGTATGGCATGGTAGGAGAGGGCTTCCTGCACAAGAGCTATGCTCGTTTTTAACAGGTGTAAGCCCTCTTGTGCAGGAGCTCTTGCACAAGAGGGCAGTGTGGACGCTCGGCAGGGATTTCTTGTGCAAGAGAGCCCTCTGGCTCAAATGGCCATCAGAGCTTTCTTGCACAAGAGAGCTCCACACTGCCATGGGCGCTCTAGTGCAAAGGCACAGCCATAGTGTCCTGTCCCTGCAGCTCAGGGATCCCCCTGACATCTGGCTGGGGGATGCTGCGCTCTGCAGGCCCAGGTGAGCCTGGCTGCCTGGACCGCGAGGGGGCGCGCCAATGCCAGCGCTTGCACCGGATCTTCCGGGGGGGGCTCGGAGGGGAGGCGGGTCGCGTCTCGCACCCG